TGTGCTCACGTTTACTCTTGACTTCTTATTTTTAGAATTAATTTTTATTGACATGAATAAGATTTTTTTAATTATTTTTAATCATTTATAAGATTTTAAATAAAAAAATTAGCGTAGCAAACCCTTCCTGTGCCTTTAATCCATCAAGGTGAGTGATACAACATGTTTAGAAAGAGAAAACAAAAATCTCTTGCCTGCCATTTTTTATTTATTTGTCAAGCATCTTGGGACATCTCCAAAGTGGGTTTGACCATTTTTCAATCTAAACATCACAAAATTTAAAATATGAAAAAGATAGGCTTTGAATTAACTCTTAATTCAACTTGAATTATCAATATTGAACGTAGGATGAGCAGGGCCCGGTTCTGAGGGGAGGCGAAGTAGGCGGTCGCCTAGGGTCCCCGGATTTTTTCAAAAATTTAGGGCCCCAAATTTGTTTATACCCTTTATATATGAACATTTATTGAAAAAATATATATTATGTATATATAATTATTGAGAACCTTAATTCATAAATATATATAAATTCACCGTTCTTATTTTTTTCTTTAATTCCTCTAATCAGGGGCCCTAATTATTAAATATATAATGTATTAGTTACTTATTTTTATATATATTCACTTGTTTTAGTGCTACTTCATGCAAATTATCCTTAAAAAAAAATCGGGGGCGCTGCCCCCGAACCCCAAAAACTTGAACCCCACTATATCACAAATTTCTACTCTTGCCACCGGCTATGTACCTTACAAAATCGAGTTAACATCGAGTCTATCACCTTTTTTGAAAAAAATAAGTTTTATTATATATTGTAGAAGAGCCCCATTTTTTAGTCGTCTTCAAATCTCGCCTAGGGCCCCCAAAATCTCAGGAAACGGCTCTGTGGATGAGAAAGATATCAATGAATCAATGTACACTGATCATGTTTTGAGTTATCTAAAATTTAAAATATAACTAATTTATGCATAATTTTGTCACTGCACATACAATCTAGCTGATTCAAGTTGGATTAAAATGCTAATGTAAAATACTATAAGTTAATTTATGTGTTTTGAATTTTGTCAAAATCAGACTAAAAAATTTGTTAGAATTTATGTTATTTGTACAATTTTTTTATTAACAATGAACTAATAATACTATTGGCCCTATTCAGAGACCCTTCGAACCATTATTGACAAAAGAAAGGAGAAAAAATAGAAATTCAGAAGAGTGACATACGACACACTGAAGTTCAATAAGACTACACACTTAGATATCAACAAAGTAAAGCCATAAATTATGAGAAGGAAGGTCGTGCAATAATATACGTTGCAAGAATATAAAGAGAATTGATAAAGAACTTCATTAAAGAACCGAAGTTCTTCAAATTTGCAAATCGTTGTATTTTAAACAAGGGCAAATGGCAAAAAGGCCGGGCATTTTGAAAAATAGTAAGTTTCTATATGAAAAATTAGTAATTATTTATTTGCAAAATACCTTCAATGTTAATCAATGTTTATTAGAATAATCACGTAATTATTTAACAATATGAATAATCACGTAATTATTACAGCGAGTAAGATGATGTTTGCCAAAAGTTTTTGTAAACTAATAGTCGGTGATTATGAGTAAATTCGAAATAGTTACTCTGTTTTTAAGTTGCGGGCATTTTGTAAATAACAAGAAAAAATAAATTTTAAGGTATTTATTTTTGAAGTTGATGTGTTAGCAAATAAACTTTAATTTTAGCTTATTTTGTTGAATTGTCTAAATTATACATATAAATTAGAATATGGATAACGATAAGGGTAAATTACGGCCACCCCTGAAGTAATGTCAAATTACGAAAAACACGCTTCTCTTTGTTTAATTATAACCAAATATGATGAGTTATTCTGTAATTTGACCGTACCTAGTGTTGTAATTTACCCATAATGATAATATGAGTGCAAATGTCAAATACATTTCTTTTAATCAGTCATAGAAGTACTTTTAAAAAGTGATTACAAGGGGAAAAAGGAAAGAAGAAATTCATTAATCAATTTTCAAAAGTTTTGGCAAACAGTATGTATACGTGTAGCAAATGACAACTGAGTGAGCAGCAGAAAAATAATAATTATTAATAAAAATTTAAAATAAACAAATAAAAGAAGTAGGATTCGGTACACTTTTTGTATTGCACAATAAATTCGAAATATCATTAATCTTTAGTTGCCCTTGAGTGTGGGAAACAGTAGTGAACTACAGTAAAATCTTCATCAATGGCGGATCCGCCGGAGATCTCGTTCGCCGCAATCTTCGCCTGCAGCGCTTTTGCTGCTTGCTTTGCTGAGGTATTCAATTTTTTTCCTTCCTTTAATCTTCTACTGTTATTGCGCCGTCAAATATTATCATTTCCACTGTTATTCCTTTGCGCTTGCATTGTTTGGTACCACAATACCTTATTCAATTGTATCTTCAATTTTAATTTTCAGTTTGATCATATAATTTCATCTGTATGCTTATCTCCAATCATCAAATCCCTAACTCTATCATAGCATAGTGGACTGAATTCTTCTCAGAATCTTTGTTATTGATCCAGTTCAGTCTACAAGGCTTTTTTCCAATGTTGTTATTTTTCTGCGGTTTAATAATATTTAATTTTGTCAATTTTGGTAGAATAATCAGGACAATTTGAGTTTGGATGCAGTTAGGTTTAACAATCTGAATTATATTCCTCTGGAGTTATATTTATCAAAATTGTGCTAAATTAGTATTGTACCCATCGTTACGTCTTGATCCCCTACGGATTAAATGTCTTTTACTCGTTCGATTTTGAAAAAAATTAATGTTTCCATTCTTTTTTTTTTTTTTTTTTTTTATATATATAATATGACCGGGTTCAAAATTAATGTTTCCATAATAACTTGACTAATGTTCTCGTGTGCAGTTCTGTACCATTCCCCTAGATACTGCTAAAGTACGGCTTCAGCTACAGAAGAGAGTTCCGCTAGGTGACTCGGAGAGTACACCAAAATACAAGGGCCTTTTGGGTACAATTGCTACCATAGCTAAAGAAGAAGGCTTATTTGCACTTTGGAAAGGAATCGTACCTGGCCTGCATCGACAATGTCTTTATGGAGGCTTAAGAATTGGGTTGTACGGGCCTGTATGTATCTATCACATTCGATGTCTTTTTTATTCCTTATTCATGTGCTAATAATAAAACGTAATCAAATCTTTCGATCATGGGTGGTTGAACAGGTCAAGGCATTCCTCGTTGGAAGTAGCTATACTGCAGATGTATCCTTATTCACTAAAATACTAGCTGCTCTGCTTACTGGTGAATAAAATATCAATTTTTTTTTGTTGTTGCTATTACTTTGTGTAAGAACTTAAACGATTAACTAGAACTATTTTCTTCTAATGCAAAGGTGCTGTAGCAATAGCCGTTGCTAATCCTACCGATCTTGTTAAAATCCGGCTTCAAGCTGAGGGTAAATTGGCAGTTGGAGCACTCAGTCGTTACAGTGGTGCTTTGGATGCATATCGTGCCATTGTCAAGCAGGTGAATTTTCGTTAAACTAATTAGTCGATCGGCTTCAAACCCATTAATTGAAATGCTTGAAATCAACAGGAAGGAGTGGCAGCTCTATGGACAGGGCTCGGACCAAACATTGCAAGAAATGCAATTATAAATGCTGCAGAATTAGCTAGTTACGATCATATCAAAGAGGTGAATTTTTTGTTGTTGTTGTTGTTCTTTTTTCGTAATTCTATAATGTCATATGAGATTCCCCGGCATTCTAATCTTTATGCTATGTGCAGACAATTTTGGCAATTCCAGGATTCACAGACAATATTATAACACATATATTAGCTGGTCTAGGTGCGGGGTTCTTTGCTGTCTGCATCGGCTCCCCTATCGATGTGGTAATTTTCGCCCTTGAATTAGATGGTATTCTCTGATGGTTTACGATATTGTTTTCCAGTTTTGGTAACTGAGCATCTTATTGTGTTAGTGATACATTATCAGTGTTTTCCAGAAGTCGTAAACGTTTGATTTTTTTTCTATTCTAGGATATAGAAGCATGTCTACGGTCTTATAAATGCCATTGGATTGAGAATTTGTAATAAAGTCCACAGCATAACTGAATTGGTTTTATGCGGTAGTTTCAGATAGTTCTGAAACTGCAATGCAGCAGTTATCGAGTAGTTGATATAGTTCTCGAGATGATATATTCAGAATTTTTTCTTATAGAATCTACCTAATTGTTGGCACGTAAAGTAAGTAACTTAAATTTCTAATCACAATTTATTTTCAGTATCCAACTGTCATAAAGGACAACTTATATTTATTCTCGTGATGGTGTATTCGTGAAGTCCCTTCAGAATTGTATGATAATGACGCTGATGATATCTACATAGTTGCTGGCTTTGGCCATATAATTTGTACGTCTGGCCACAAACGTACAAATCATATATGCCGTGGCCGTATAGTTTACCTTATAGATTTCTTTGTTCTATATCCTTTTGTACGTGCTGTTAAAATGTGTTCCAGCAAAATGTATTCTTTTCATGATAGGCTACGAGAAGAGGATTCAATCAAATACTTATGTGAACCTTTCTGCTTGTGAAATCCCAGGTAAAATCCAGAATGATGGGAGATTCAGTCTACAAAAGCACTATAGATTGCTTCTTCAGAACATTAAAATCGGAGGTAATATTCCCTTTCAGTTTCTCTTTTGCTTAAATATTGATATGGAACACTTTATTCGAAACTCGCTGTGTATCAACCTTCTAGTGCTTGAACTCTACAGTTTAATAGGATGTATAAGGCTTTTTATGTATCTTTTGTCTTTGAGTTCAATTCTCATAAAAAAAAATAATAAGTCGAGTACGGCCTAAGAAGTTCGATAATTTGGCCTAAGAGGGCTGTTTTGAGTAAAGATCTTGTTGGTACTCTAGAGCTTGATATGCAAAGTATGGTAGTGGATTTGTCGTTTGTTTTTCTTCCTGATTTTGCCTTTTCAATAATGTTGTCCTTTTCGTTCATCTTATTTGAAATCATCTGTTTTTATTTTCATATCTAGAGACGTACAAACCTAAAAGTTTATTTAGTCAAAAGTAGGATCTCTCTACTAATGTCATCTATGATGTTTCAACTAATTGTTTAAAAAAATCCTCTAACAAATGAAAATATGATTTTGTTCTAAAATAATAAAAATAATAAATATAAGTAATACATCAACCCAGCATAATTTGATTAAGCCATTAAGCAGTAATCAGGCCCACTAATTATTTAGTTATTACTAAATTATTGTTTTCAATTCGATAAACTCAATGTTTCTACGTCATATCGAAAAATTCTCATTTCGACACAAGAATCTTTGCAAGAATGAAAACATGCTCAGGAATGTTAAAAATGGAACGTTAAACGTACAAGACATTGGTATTTTAAGGATCATAAAATAGCAAAAATTGGACTTTCTTTGCTCAGAAATTTAGACTTGTCATGGTTGCATCACCTTGCTATATTCTCTATGCTGAATGTTCAAGTAGGGATGCAAAGAGTTATATTTGAGTAATGATAGTTGGAGTTATCTGTTTTTATTTGTGCTACTACCTACTCTTCATTCTAGCCATTGTATAGAGGCTTTCAGGGAAAGCGTGGCTTAAGAGGAGAATGGCTTCAATTAAGCATATCTAGTGACTAGAATCTAATGGTTCAATTGCAAATAATACACAGAACCGTGTATTATATCTACGAATCATACTGCACAAAAGTAGAAAATATCATAATATGCAATTTCGCATTGTTTTCCCTATTTTTGTTGCTGCCTTGTCTGGATTGAATTACATACAACTTTTTGCTGATAATGATGGGGAATTCACCATTTCTGGCAGGGAATCTTTGCTTTTTACAAGGGGTTCTTTCCGAATTTCGGTCGACTTGGATCGTGGAATGTTATCATGTTTTTGATTCTCGAACAAGTAAGATTATTTGTATTTCGTACGTAAAGAAACTGAAATCTAATTCTTCCATGCATAACGAGGCTATAATTCTTTCTGCTCTATATGGATAATAAGAACTCAGCTGCTATAAAACTGAAACAGAGTTCAAAAACAAAAAACTATTTCTGCTGCAGAATTAATTGATTACCCAGTTTTGTGTTTTTTTTAGTGCTTTGAGAATCACAGTCTGAGTTAATGAGAATAGGTCACTATTTGTTTTCCAATTAGAAATGATTTCTTCCGTCTTCCTTGCAGGTAAAAAGATTATTCAGTTGATCATATCAGCCCATATTTTTTTTTCTTCTTCTCTTTTCTATTGAATCGACAATAATACAACTAGCGTCTGCTTGTTTGTGGATGTCCTCAAAAGTGACGTTGGAAACGATTCCACTACCGAATCACATGAAGTGCTCTATTATTGTGGAGCGACATGGCAAGTGACACACTTTATTTGATGCAGACGAGATTGCTCCCCACGTGATATACTTAAAAGACCATTTTTTGATGAGGTGTGAATTCGACTGAATATATATATACGAACTTAGAAATATATGTGTTAATATATATACGATATCAATGTAATATTGTAACCATAATATGTTGGATCCAAATTGTAGACTCGAGATACTTTACACGTTTATTTGCTTTATTGTTTTAGGGAGAGGGGTATTAAGTTGGTGTTACTCTTGTCATCATGTAATTGCTAGATGTGGACTCAAAACTCAAAGGGGACGATGCTATTTACACTGTACTATCGTACTATTCGTATTACGTAAACTTATTTAAGTTGGTCGTTACTTGCTGAAAATCTCGAAATAAATCGATCGTTTGCTGAAAATTCTAAAACGAATTTTTCATGCCCACGAAAATACCGAGAGGGTAGTTTAGAAAACATTTGACAGCGTGCAGAGTAATTTTAAGAAAATTCTTGTATTGAGTAATTTATGGATTGTAAATAGCAGCCCCAAAATATTAAACATAGAGCATATCATCAGAACATAGAAAGCAAATTAGAATATAAATAAGTAGTTGTACAACAAGCACAACTGCAAATCTCCCATAATACAAACTACACACTCTGGTACACACTTATTAAAGTACTCATCCTATCAAATACATATAAACCCACTTGCATATTTAGTTCTTGGGAACAAGATAAACCCTAGCTTTAACAATGGAACCATTCCCAAGCTTAAACCCCGGGCTAACCGGAAACCCGACCACCATAGAAATTCCCACCTTATTGTTCTTCACCACACTCTCCATGTACTGAGAATGAAAGTCGGCCCCTTTACTCGCCTCGAAATGTCCAGGTGGCGGATCGAGAGAAAACGCCAGCAAATGCAGCAGCCAAACGGACTTAGCCAACCCTAGAAACTCACCGTAGAACTGACTCCTGGGGTGGTGCCCATCCAGCACCTGCCGCCTCTGCTCCAGATCGCCGAACAAAGACTCCTCCATCTTAGGGTGGACCACCGCCAGATATTTCTTGAAGCAGAAGTTACCGAACCCGCACGAGGGCAGAATCCCCAGCAGTTCGGCGGGGTCCATCGCCTTCATGTCGCGGTACTGCGTGAAGCAGTCGGTGCGGTGCTGGTCGGGGTGGAGGATCGACGAGAGGCTCCCGTCCATGTAGAACGTCTCGTGGTCGAACCCTTGGAAGATTTTGCGGTTCACGTAGGACTCCAGCGCGTACTTTGCGTGGTTGGTCAAGCTGTCTCCCCCGGTGAATGATGTGGCGGTGAAGGAGGCGGCGGTGGAGGAGGCGGCTTCGATTGATCGGACCGCGGCGGCAATGTCCCAGTGGGCGGAGCGCATTAGGGAGAGGAGGAGCGATGTGAATGCTTTCGATGCTTCTTTTACTAGGCTCATCGTCGCTTCGAATAGCTCCACTGCTGGAGCTACTGCTACTGTTTAATGCATATTTAAATTGTCAAATGGAAATCAAATTGATTCTTCTTATACTTCCTTTTTCTACTGTTTAATATTTTAGTCCTAATTAATTGTTACTTTGGAGTTCTAATCATGCACTAATTATATTTGTTTTTTTTTCAATTTTGACTTTGTCACTCTTAATTAACATATGTGGCATAATATCTGTCTCTTTTTAAAAATATTTTGTTCCATATTATCTGTCACTTTAGATTTCTAATACTTCATTATATCCATTTTTTTCCTTTTTTTTTTCCTGTTTTAACCTTATTAATTCAACTCTAAGTATTAACTCTCTCTTACCACATCATTAAACGATCAAGGTTATTTTAATCTTTATAATGTATTTTTCATAAATTCAAGACACATTTATTGAAATTTTTAATTCTTGTGCAAAGTTAAAAACGACAGGTAGTTAAGAACGGAGGGAGTAATTAAAAGACAATTAGTTGAGAAACAATCAATAAAAATATATTTTAGTGATTTTTCATATTTTTTTCTCTAATTCATGAATCATTATTTTTTTTTTAATATACGCACAAGTAAGAGAGTACTCCCTCTGTCTCTTATTATATATCTTTTTAGGCTGTTTTTTTTTTTTCCTAAATTATTTGTCATTTTAGAGTCTCAATAAGACATTAATTCTATTTTTATCAATTTTGCTCTTTATCACTCTTAATTAGTTAATTAAAAAAAAAATGAATGACAAGGGTATTTTAGTATTTACTATATTATTTTATGCATATTTATTGAGTATCTTAATTTACGTGTAATCACCCAAAACGAGATATAATAAGGGGCGACCGGGCGAGTATTATTAAAGAAATAGGGTACAAAAGCAACATGAAGAAGGTTAAAATAGTAATTGCAGGAACTAACCTTGAGTGGTGCAGCTGACTCGTCTCCTTGACTTCCCCTTTGACTTTCCACTGACTAACGACGCCGTTTTGAGCTTCTCCTTCAAGTTGTCCATCTCAGCTTGCTGCGCCTTCACTTCCCTCTTCAGCTCCGCCACCGCCGCCTCGTACGGCGCCACCACCTCCCTCAGCGTCGCCGCCCCCACCCCCCAAGTCCCTCCCCTTCCGCCAACACTCCGCTTGAACCTCTCCCTGAGGAGACCCAAACGGCGGAGCTCGGCCACCACCGCCACGTCGGACACGCGCATTTTATCAGGATCCCAGGGGGAGTGCGCCTCCTGGAGGCTAACGTACGCCCTCTTCATCGACGAAACGGCGTCGAACACCTGACCCATCAGTATCTCGAGCTCCATTGTCCTCGGCGGCTCCTCGTCGTCGTCTCCAGCGCCGCCACCCCAGTTGGTGTGAATCTTGAAATCCTCCTCATCCTCCTCCTCCGCCGCCGCCGCGCGGTTGTCGTAGTCCTCATCTTCGTCGGCGGTGGAGAAGTCGTCGGCGCGTGAGACGCCGGCGAGGGGGTGGAGAAGGCAAGAAGCGGTGACACGTTGGATCAGATCGGAGAAATTGGAGACCTTGCTTGACATTTTCTTGATGCTTCGTCCTTTTCTGCACAGATTTCAGATTTTATTTCTTCAATTATAAACTTATTTGGTAACAGTAATTAACAGTGGCACACTGGTAAATAACTAAACAAATCACTGTAAATAAATAAATGATATTATTTTTCCCCTACTCCATCCGTCTTAACTGATGTGTTTAATATTTGGACAATATTTCTATTTAAGGTAAGGGCAATATACATTGTTTTTTGGTTTAACCTTACCAGTCAACTCTCACATCTCTAACTATATTAGTCTATGCACTTACATTTTTACCCCTACTTTTATTTAATAGAAATAGTTATTTTCCGACTTTGTAACTTGGGTAAAAAAAAACCGAACACGTACAACATAATAGAAATGGTTCCAAAAAAAATATGACATGTAGTGTAATGGGTGGTAAATGAGCTGAACCGATTCGTGAGCTCAATGATCCGGTTCGAGAAAAGCTCGAATTCGGACTTGAGCTTTTCAAGCTCGAGCTAGTTTTTAGTTGTTCGTGAGCTTACGAGTCAGCTCGCGAGCCTTATTTATTATTTTTATTATTTTTTTTATATATTATTTTTTATTTAAATAATGTGTAAAACTAATTAATATCTCAAGTAATTAAGAATTTTAAAATCTATATAAATATACCTTCAATAATGATATTTAGAAATTTCTTTTAAACAAATGTAATAGATAAATATATTATTTAATGAATCTGGACCAAACAAAAATGAAAAATATTAAATATATGTTCATTATATAAAATTCATCAGATAATTAGGTAAAGAATATTAGGTAGAATTAAGGATATATAAATAAATAATGAATTACCTATGATTAATATCATCATTAATAATGTTGCGTGATTTCAAACAAAAAGTGTTGGTTTTGGAGAGTGGATCAGTGTAGAATGGCACTGAGTACACATTCCTTTCTTCCACCTCCTCTTTTTCCTCTTCACTACTCCTTTTGCACCTTGTTTTCTTCCCTCTGCAAATTATTCAAATATATATATATGTTAATATCAATATATGTTAATTTAATTATGTAACTAATTCCATCCAAATACTTATTTAAATCAATAATCAAACATAACATATCTAATTATAACCTTGGTTTCTCACTTCGAAAGGACCGAAACAGCATATCTGCTATCATAGTTGTGTGTGTGTGTGTGAGAGAGAGAGAGAGAGAGAGAGAGAGAGAGAGAGAGAGAGAGAGAGAGAGAGAGAGAGAGAGAGAGAGAGAGAGATGATGCGTAAAATACTTCAAACAATCCCACTATATATAGAGCTTAAAGACTTACTAATGTTCAAATAGTTGGTAAGATCATGAGGTCATGAGCTCGTACGATCTCAGACACAAAATTAACATTAAAAAAAAAATCCATATCTAATTATCTATGATGGTCTGACTCTTACGATTTATGATTCAATTCAACGGTTCGTTTCGAATTTTCGAATTTTAAGAAAATTCTCTTTCGAGATAACTCCATCGATTTTTTACAACCTACTGCGACTTACACAACTTTTACGATTCAACCGATTTTTTATGATTTAAAATTTATATTATTTTGATGTAAAATATCCAATTAGAATCTAATTTAAAATGAATAAAATAAGAAAAACTAAAATCGAACTATAAAATTTTACTAGAAAAGAAAAGGCCAATTAAAATATGATGCATAGATACTGTTTTGAAGCCCTTGACAAGACAATGAAGTCAATATTACAGGTTGACAAACCCTTTGGGGGTAAGGTGGTTGTTCTTGGAGGGGATTTTAGGCAGATTTCACCAGTTGTGATCAAAACATCAAGGCAGGACATAGTACATGCTACGATAAACTCTTCTCCGTTGTGGAAGTTCTGTCGTGTCATGAAGTTGACTAAGAACATGAGATTGCAGTCATGCTCTTCTACATCTAATGTGGATGAGATAAAAGAATTTGGAGACTGGATACTGAATGTCGGTAATGGGGATGTTGGGGAAGACAATGATGGTGAAGCTTCGATAGAGATTCCAGATGACATGTTGATTGGTGATTTAGAAGATCCATTTAGAGACCTACTCGAATTCGTTTACCCCGATTTGTTGAGTAACATGTATGATCGAGATTATTTTCAAGGGAGGGCAATTCTTGCACCAACTAATGAATGCGTGGAGTCTGTGAACGATCACTTAATGTCTCTCCTTTCAGGAGAGGAGAAGGTGTACCTGAGCTCAAATAGTATGTGTAGGGACGAGCAAACAACGGAGGATAACGCAGAAATTTATTCGACTGAATTCCTCAACACAATAAGATCCTCCGGAGTTCCTTCTCATACGTTGAAGATCAAGGTTGGTGCACCCGTTATGCTAATAAGAAACATCGATCAAGCTAGAGGATTGTGCAACGCTACCGGATTTCAAATTATTAGAACTGGCATTCACGTTCTGAGTTGCAAAATTCTTTCCGGAAAAAATATCGGTGACATGGTGTTCATTCCTCGGATGACTTTAATACCATCTAACTCCGGACTGCCAATTAAATTTCAGAGAAGACAATTTCCGTTGATTGTTTCTTTTGCAATGACGATAAATAAAAGCCAAGGCCAAACTCTTTCGCATGTTGTTTTTTATCTTCCTAGGCCTGGCTTCAGCCATGGTCAACTATATGTTGCACTGTCCAGAGTTAAGAGTAGAGGTGACATTAAGATATTCATCAAGTCGGATTCGGGTGAACTCACTAATGTTACTAGAAATGTCGTGTACAAGGAAGTATTTCATCGAATTTGAAGGTAGAAAATATTTTCATATTTATCAGTTATTCCTGTAACATGTTTTTTTTTTTTTAAAGAACTTATTCTTTTGCAGGTGTTTCTTATCTATATATTTTCCCCGGGGCGATGTTATTTTCAGTCATTTCCCTAGGGTGCTCGGTGCAATTCTTATTATCTTTAAGATTTATTTTTGACGATATACTAATATTTAATAGTATTCTTATATTTTAACTATGAAGAACATGACACTTATAACATATTTTATTATCGTTTGTCGATTACGTTATGTACTTAAATTCAGTGACCGTAATAATTGATATCTGCGTAAATTTGTTTTTGAGACATGTATTTTCAGTTAAAAATATGTCGCCCCGTGCATCGCACGGGTGAATACTAGTTTTACTAGAAAAGAAAAGGCCAATTGAAATTGAAGTCAATGTTCAAAATTGATTACTTGGTGAATTGAGGTTAAATCACAGTTTTGGGATGAAAAATTAGAATTTGAAGGGATATTTTTATCTTTGTAGATTTGACGTCCTTTTAATTAAGGGGCAATTTGCTCTAGGTCCCTCTATGTTAAATTTTATGTGAATAAATCCTAGTCAAAAATCCTATTTTTTAATAAATTAATTGTAGTTATTATGGCAAAAATACCCTTAATCAATCCAAATCAAACCACCCCAAAATATCTCTATCAAATTAAATTCCCCAAAAAATCTTTCTCTCAATTTTAAATAAAAGAACAATATCACGTCGTAAAAGAAAATATTTGCTGAAAAACGCACTCTCAAAAAAAATTCCACAATGATTTCACCAAATTGCAAACAGCAAACTGAAAAACATAATTTGCATTATTCAAGTGCAAACAGTAGACTACCTATGAATCGACCAAATGCAAACAACAAACTACTTCATCTAATTGCGAATAACAAACTGAAAATATGATCCAAACCATCTAAATTCAAACGCAATAACAACATTAATCAAAATAAAAAACAACAAAATCTTCCAATGTCTAAAATTGCGATTTGCAGTTTGCAAAAAAATCAACTGTTATGGATTGCAATTTGCAGTTTTCTGTTATATGCTTCAAATTTATTTTGCCATTGCAATTTTTTTTTGTTGTTTGTTGGAGCAAAATCAATTAGAAAACACAAACAAAAATTATAAAATTACTACAAATAAATACAGAGAGGGAAAAGTAAAGAGCTAACTTTTTGTAAGCAATGAGTTGTTTGTTGTCGCCTATTAACTCTTTCACCAACATATAATCTCATAATGTAAAGAAACTTTCTTTTGTTTCGCTATGTATTCCATCGAAAAAATCAAAGAGAGGATAAGGAGGGAGAGAGAACGTGAAAGAGTAGAGAGGAGAAAAAATCGTGAAAAGAGAAAGGAGGGAGAGAAGAAAAAATACGTGATAAGATAAGAGAGGAGAAAGGACAGAGAGAGAAAAAGAAATACGTGAGAAGAGAAGAGAGAAGGGAGGAGAGAGAGAGAAATTTATGGAAGGAAGATAGTGATACGTGGGATTTGTTTTCTCACTTCTTTACGTAAAAAACTAATTCCATATAAAACAATTAATAATTTAAGGGTATTTATGTCTAATAACTTGTAAAATTATTTAATTTATATTAATTTTTTGAGTCAATGGACCTACACCTATATTCATCTAACAAATTGGATCTCCACCTATATAAGTCTAGAATAAGGGGTGTCTAGCCAATTTCCCCTTTAATTAAATAGTTTTTGGTGTGTGTGGTTTTGCAAATAAGTAGGTCCTTAGAGCATCTCCAAGAGGATGAATGCATACCTATAATATAAAAGTTGCGGCTATATTCAAGACTAATTCTAGCTATTTGTGCAAGATCAAATTAAAATTTTCAATGTATAAATACTATAATACCCTTAATTGTTAAAAAATAGAAAATTCTAAATGTGCAATACAAAAAACTCAAAAACACAAAAAATCCTATCACAAAACCACAAGACCAACTTTCATCTTCTCCATCTTCCAAAACCCAAAAAACCGTTCTCCTTCCTCCTCCATAAACCCATAAAACTTAAACATTCAAAATCATCAAAACTCAACAAATCTTACAAAGATGGCAAGTATGGAGTCAGAAGACATCAAAATAGAAGATTCTACGGTGGAAGAATCCAAGAAGATATGCCTTTATGTGTTTTTAGCTAAAATATCGTTTTTCCAAAATCCGTTCCGCACAGACGCAGTTGACATGTACATGTCGAATTTTATAGGTAAAAATCGACATCTCATTGAGATGTCGATTTTGGAGTACAAAATCGTCACCTTAGTGTCGAAATTTAACTGCAGCAAATTAGTCCAAATATACTAAATTTCGACATTAAGGTGTCGAATTTAATACATATATTCGACACCTTAATGTCGAAATTTAGTTGTTCATATTTTTTTCAACTTTCTATTTTCCAATTACTTTTTGTTTCAATATTCATTTATTTTTTTATAGCAAAAGGCGAATGCGAAGACGCAGTTTATTGTCCAAATTCATCCAACGTTTCAAAAATATGTAAAAAACATCAACAATGTCGCATCAAGAGCGACGGTCGGCGGCGGAGCTTCAGTGGGGGGGGGGGGGGGGGGGGGGATTTTTTAATTTCACGTTTTCTTCTCTTTTTTTTTTTGGTTTTTTTTTTCATTATTTGTTATTTGGTCTTGCATTAACAAACAAAAGGCAATTTAATTTATGAGTATATTTGTCATTTCATCTTAATAAAATGAAATCTTTTGGAATCTTTCTTTAATTTGGTTTTGCACAAGTGGAATTAGTATTGCATATAGCCGCAGCCTAATATAAATCTTTTGCACATTTTCAACTCAAAATCACATCTCCAACAATAAAATGGGAAAATGCAAAAATTTTCAGATTTTAACTTTGCATATCCAAAATCGAGAAATCAAAACTACAATTTAACAAATTGTGTAAAAATAAACAATAATAAAAACTCCATTACTGCTATTTTTTTTAATATTAAATTTATAGTGCACACTATATGTTTCCATGTATAAATTATAATTGTTATTAATAAAACAATGTTTATTTTTTTGGGATAATTAGCAATACCCCTCATCTAGGTAAATGAGTTAAGAAAACCCCTTTCCCAAAAATAATTAGAGAAAACCCCCTTACCTAATATCCTACCCAAATATTATTTAATAATTCCCAAACCACCCTTATTATCCATAACCCATTTCATTCCACCATGGCCGCCCAATCAGCAGACTCTGCATTCTCGAACGGCCCACTCCCACCAACACTCAGTATGCTACCTGCATCATCCAAAATAAAATAATGCAATTAAAATTTTGAAATTTGGGGATGTTCAAAATAATAATTCAAAATTCATCATTTAAACCCTAGAATTTGAGCAACATGAAAATATCTCTTATTCTTGGCAATTACCTCATGCCGTTGCATCTCTCCAACATCTGATGTCAGATTTCCAATCTGAACACGCCTAAATTTCGTCGTCGCAATGAGGTTTCCTCGATGGATCTATATTTGTTCTCTTCGAAGGCGCCGAGATGCTCGAGCCGCTGGAAGGAGCTTCCCGGCTTGAAGAAGCTGTATCAGAGCAGCAACGCCAAGCAAGAGGATCACAAAACGGCGTCGTCGCTACCCACACACAGCGAAACCAACAAAAATGGCAGCGGCAGCGACGGCGTTAACTTGGTGTATTCTTTAGCTCCGGTTATTTATTTTATTCTTATTCGGATTGGTTTCGAAGGAAAGTTGGTGTAAAAACAGTTAGAATATGGAAGTGGGGTGGTGATGTTGTGGTGTGGCGACAACGTGGTGACGATGAAGAACATATCTAGGGTTTTTTGGTGGATTGTGGCGGAAGACGACGCAGAAAAAAAATATTCGCGCAGGCAGGGCCCTTAATCGACTACGTGGTTTAATCGACTATGTTCAATAGTCGATTAAGGCTTAATCGACTATGTTCAGTAGTCGATTAAGGTTAACCGACTCTAGTTGTTAATTTTTTTTTATTTTTTTTTTGATTTTTTGTTTATTGATTCCAATGTATAAATCAATTACAATGTTTTTATTTTTTTTAAATATAATTGATTTTGTATTTTTTTTGTAATTGTGATTTGTTATTTTTAATAGCTAAAATTTTAATCGACTATGCAATAATAAACCTGATAGAGAAAAAAATTAAAAAAACCAAAAAAAATTTAAAAACAAAATTAGAAACAAAAAAAAATTAAAAAATTAAAGATTTTCCTTAATCAACATAGTCGATTTAAGACTAATCGACTATGCTTCATAGTCGATTAAAAAAACGGAAAAAAAAAAAAATCCTGGAGCGCTGACCTAGTGATGAGGTGGCGGGCGGAGGTAAAGCTGGAAAATATAATAGGTCAAAATGGGTGTGGACTTTTCTCAAATGGACTAAAATATTTTGGGTCTCCCTCAATTAAAAAAAGTAGTGAGATGGTTTTCTCAAAGAGTCCCTTATTTTTTTGTAATATACCTATATATATAGCATAAATTATCATTTGAATATATTTTAATTCCAAATAAGTTCCCCGAGTACAAAACGGTTTTTTTTTTTGGTAGACCCTAAGTACAAAACTAAAACAAGATATATGTACATATGTGAAATTGAAATTATAGTTGTTAAAATTAATTCAAAACTATTTTTTTTGTAAAATAATAAAATATGATAAAAGTGTAAAATATAGACAATGTTGTTGGAGTGTGATGTTAAAAGTGGTGTTGCATAATACTGTTCGTCTCTTAAATTATATATATAGACAATCGATTTTTAAACAACTGTTGGAGATGGCCTTATAAGCTTATACAGAATTTGCCCAAAAAAAATAAAATAAAAAAATAAATACACAATGTGTTATAATCAGAAGATGTATAACGCATTTGGAGTTTATATGAGTTTTTTCAGTCATATAAGTTTTCTAACTGAGTTTTAATCTACCACATTTTAATAATAGAATTTTAGTCTTGTAAG